GACCAAAAAGTGTTCTTCCTGTTATGTCCAAGATTATAGAAAAGGTAGTGGCTGGTCAACTAATTAATCATCTTATATCTAATCAACTCTTACACCCCATGCAACATGACTTTAGGGCACATCCCTCAACAGAAACAGCAACTGTTTACTTTGTTGAAAGGATTGAGTCTCACATAAACAGAGGAGTTTTTTTAGATCTCCAGCTGGTTCAAATCCTATCTCACTAATCGAAACCGATGTGTTAAAATACAAAATAACACATCTTCTTCCAAAGATCTTGTTACAGGTGTACCACAGGGCTCAAGCTTGGGTCCAATTCTATTTAGTCTTTACACAAACCATCTGTGTACCAAGGTGGTAAAGTACCTATGTATGTAGATGATGCTGTAATTTTTGTTAAAGGCAATGATCATTTTGATGCATCTGCACAACTTACGAGGGTTATGGTAAATGTATCACACTGGTAGAATAATTGTAATTAAGAACTTAATTTCTTCAAAATGGGCTGCGCAGTGGTTAGAGCTGTTGCCTTGCAGCAAGAAGGTCCTGGGTTCGCTTCCCAGCCTGGGATTTTTCTGCATGGAGTCTGCATGTTCTCCCTGTGCATGCGTGGGTTCTCTCCGGGTACTCCGGCTTCCTCCCACTGTCCAAAAACATGACTGTTAGATTGATTGGTCTGTCTAAATTGTCCTTAGGTGTGAGTGTGTATGCATGGTTGTTTGTCCTGTGTGTCTCTGTGTTGCCCTGCGATGGACTGGCTCTCTGTCCAGGGTGTACCCCACCTGATTGTCCGTTGCGGCTGCTAACGAAATGTTGCAGGTAAATAAAACCTGTGTTTTAAAAAGAACTAAAAGATGTCATTTTAAATATCTGACAGAACCTAACTCTGATTACCACTCAGAACCCGCAGGTTCACAGCATGTGTTGATAGCGTGAACTAACCTGGAGTCCTGATGGTTCTGATTTGTTAATCAAACACAAACATTTATGCAAGAATTAAACAAATAGTTCTGATAATGTGAAAGAATAATTTAAAGCCAGTATCTCACAGGGCTGGAAACACAAACAAAACAAAAAAAGAGAACTTTTAGCTGAACTCAGAGTTGGTGTGTACAACACTTGTGTGACATGTTTCCTTTCTGTCCAGATCACATGGGGCAGATGGGGTAACTGCTAACAAGGTGGGGGACAACCTGGATAGGTCACACAATCACACCTAGGGACGATTTAGCGTCACAAATCAACATTCATGTTTATGGTCTGTGGGGCAATCCAGGGTACTTGGAGAAAAAAAACACGCATGCATGAGGAGAACATGACAACACATGAAGACTGGCCAGTCAGGCTTTGAACCTACAAACTTCTTGCTGTGAGACAACAGTTCTGCCAACTGAGCAAGGGCAGCTCGTCCATTGGAGGCACTAGGGCACTGCCCCACCAACCTCAAAAAAACAAGATAGGAATCACAAAATATTTAAGAAAAAAATTAAAACAGCAATCTGTACATACATCACACATACCAATATATATATATATATATATACAGGGAGTGCAGAATTATTAGGCACGTTGTGTTTTTGAGGAATAATTTTATCATTGAACAACAACCATGTTATCAATGAACCCAAAAAACTCATTAATATCAAAGCTGAATGTTTTTGGAAGTAGTTTTTACTTTGTTTGTAGTTTTAGCTATTTTAGGGGGATATCTGTGTGTGCAGGTGACTATTACTGTGCATAATTATTAGGCAACTTAACAAAAAACAAATATGTACCCATTTCAAGTATTTATTTTTACCAGTGAAACCAATATAACATCTCCACATTCCCAAATAAACATTTCTGACATTCAAAAACAATACAAAAACAAATCAGCGACCAGTATAGCCACCTTTCTTTGCAAGGACACTCAAAAGCCTGCCATCCATGGATTCTGTCAGTGTTTTGATCTGTTCACCATCAACATTGCGTGCAGCAGCAACCACAGCCTCCCAGACACTGTTCAGAGAGGTGTACGGTTTTCCCTCCTTGCAAATCTCACATTTGATGATGGACCACAGGTTCTCAATGGGGTTCAGATCAGGTGAACAAGGAGGCCATGTCATTAGTTTTTCTTCTTTTATACCCTTTCTTGCCAGCCACGCTGTGGAGTACTTGGACGCGTGTGATGGAGCATTGTCCTGCATGAAAATCATGTTTTTCTTGAAGGATGCTGACTTCTTCCTGTACCACTGCTTGAAGAAGGGGTCTTCCAGAAACTGGCAGTAGGACTGGGAGTTGAGCTTGACTCCATCCTCAACCCGTAAAGGCCCCACAAGCTCATCTTTGATGATACCAGCCCAAACCAGTACTCCACCTCCACCTTGCTGGCGTCTGAGTCAGACTGGAGCTCTCTGCCCTTCACCAGTCCAGCCACGGGCCCATCCATCTGGCCCATCAAGACTCACTCTCATTTCATCAGTCCATAAAACCTTAGAAAAATCAGTCTTGAGATATTTCT